CGAGGTCACAGAGGTCACAGGGCTGCGGTGGGGGTTGTGGAGCTGCAAGGGGGGTGGGGGAAGGGGAGGAAAGCAAGGGAATAGGGGACAAGGAGCGCAGGGGTTGGACACTATTGAGCCCCTATCTGTAATCACTGTATCAGTCTATCTCTGAGGATCTTCCTCTTTTTTTTTTTTTTTGCTGACCTTCCACCCTTCCAAGCATGGTAATCCTTTTCTAAGGAATAGCCTTCCCTAGCAACATGTCCAAAGTAGGAGAGATGAAGTTTAGCCATCCTTACCTTCAAGGAGCACTCTGGCCATATCTATTCCCACCTGTTCATTCTTTCTGCAGTCCGTGTGATAGATATTCAGTACTCTTACACCACAACTCAAAGGCGTTGATTCTTCTGTCATTTTTATTAATTGTCAGTTTTTAGATGCACAGCATGTAAAAATTTCCAAATTATGCTCTTTCTCATAAAAATTACCTCCCAAGTTTAGGCCCAAATCTGTTCTTCCCCTTTAGGTAGCTGTAGCCCACTCTGTGTTGGTGGTGACTGGCGTTGTGACCACAGTTCTTGTTCAGCACTGGTTTCCCTGCTGGAGCGTGGGGTTGGCACAGGTGCTGCCTAAGTGCCAAAACCTCACAAGATGCACCTCGAGAGGAAAGCATGGGTCTGGGCTCCACTGTTATACTCCTCTCGCCATAGGCAGCCTGACAAGGGCAAGGTGAGGACTCCTTCCTTTGTTCTGGCTCCAGTAGAGAAGAATAGAGGGACACAGCAGGGACAAGGAGCACATCCACTCCTTTGCTCTTCATGTGATTGCTTCCCCTAACACTGGACACCAACACAGGCCTAATATAACGCTTGGTCTTTTTCCAGCTACAGACCCTCTCAAGATTTTAACCAGTTGGTCTCATTTTCTTTAACATCTCCTTTCTCCATCTTCCTGCTTTCTGCTTATCTAGTACAAAGACCATAGTCACAAAGAAGCTTTGAATTACTTTGTAATGCTTTTCACATCTAAAACCTTTTCCTCACCTTTCCTCAGCAGTTTATGCCCCATGTTTTTCTAAATTTACACCTCCATGCTCCATATGTACGTATTGTACATTTGTGCAATATCATTTTTCTGTCTTCATTTCACTTACTTGTGGGATATTTGTGTGTGGGTTTTTGTAACCTGTCCACATCCCTTTCTTTTAATGCCACGTTCCTACTCCAGTGTTACTGCTTTTGGTCAGATTATCTTTCACCCTTTTCACTCTTCCTCACTCTAGCAGTTTTGTTTTCTCACCCTTCAAAAGCTAACTCCTGTTATGTATATGTTAAGTGCTCTTAATAAACGCTTTTCAGACCTTGAATTCAAAACTATTACTTTGGAAATAAACCCTGAGAAAATGAGCTTTCTAGTTGAAACCTTCAAGTAGAGATTCTTCTCCTGTGGTTGAATGATGGAGTGTATCTAATATTATCCAAAACAAATGGCTGCTTGAACTCTACGTAATATCCACTATTGTGATCTTGCACTTCGATCTATTTTGATTGACCTGAGAGAGAAAAATTAGCACCTCAGGGTTGGTAGCTTTTATATGTTTGGGTCATATTGACCAATAATTTTCAGAATAATTACAGGTTTGGGAATATTGTATATTTAGTCTTGCCTAGTCCATGCAGCAGTCTCTTTCAATGATAGAGTGTACCTGTGAATCGACATGGCAGTCCATTTTATACTGCTATTGATTGTTGAAAAGGCAATCCTTGTATTAGGTTAAAATCTACTGACTAGAATTATATTCATTGGCTTCAGTTTGGTCCTCAAGTTAGCAAAAATTTAATCCTTTTTCTACATAGTAGCCTTTTAACTATCTAAACAGGATGTTCTGTTCTCTCTAACACACCATCCTTTTTTTCCCCTTTTAAGATAAGCATCTTCAGCTATTCCAGTTGTTTATACAGTGTAATTTTCATATGCCATAATTTTTATCACTCTAATTGCTCTCTAAGTACATTACACTTTATTAATGTCCCTTCTAAAATGTATTTGGAATGAGAAATATTTAATGAGAAGGTGAATTAGGTCTGAATATTACACATCTGGACATTAATACACTCTGATTTTACTGGTAAGTTTTTTTTAATAGCCACATGCTGTTGGTTCATAATGAATTTGTAATTAGGTAAAACCCTACGGTTTTAATCTGGTGATTTAACATCACGTGACTTATTTCCAAACCAAGTCTTCATTTCCCATTAATTGTGCAAGTTTTTAAATTTTTTTATTATATCAACTAGACTGGAAGATTTTGGAACACTGTCGAGGGGCAGAGGAGGGTACCTGGGATGTGTGACTGTGTTTGTGCTGCTAACGCAAAGGCTGCAAACCCCCTGTAGTCTTAATCCAACATCTGTGTGTGTGTGGGGGGGAGATGGACATTCTCCTCCCTGGTAGAGGGCTGCTGTGAATTGGAACTGACTCAATAACAGTGGTGAGTTTTAGTGGGATAAGATATTACATTTGTCCCTGTGAAACTTTGTCATATAAATTTCAGCCTCCTATCATCAGGCCTTGGGTTTTGTTATTATTTTGATATTTCAGTCTATATCAGGCCTTAGAGTATTTTACTCTTGATTTTGTCATCTTGATTTAACAGAAAGCCTTAGCGTCAGAATATTTTTTTAGACATCTGGTTGTTGTTGTTGTATGCGGTAGAGTTGGAACTGATCCATAGCTGACCCTCTGACAGCTTTTCAGAGGCAGTTACTTGCACTGGAGGAGATTGCCCATCCTTCTGCAGGGCAGCTGGTGGCCTACAACTTCATGCCTTCAAGGATTGCAACACTGCTTCTTGCCACTAGACCAGCAGATCTCCCAGACATCTAGGAAACTAGATAATTAAAAATCAGAGAGATCTCTGTAAATGTTCATTAAAATTATTTAAAAAAATAAAATTTTTAAAAAATCAGAGAGATGATCTTCTAAAATTTGTTGTTTGCAGATGTAACTTAGGTTTTTGACATATATATTAATACCATTATAATTTATTTGGCCTGTAAACACTGAAGTTGATTCCCAGCCTGCAGGAGAGAAGCCTTGTATTGAACATTACTCCAAGAGAGATGATGTTCCAGTGGTGTATCGTGCCAGGATAATGTAAAAGGAGCTGGCTAATTTACCTAAAGAAAACAGCAAATGCATATAAAGTAGAGACTGAGTTTTTGTGACCATTCTTTTATATTGCATTTGCCAAGCATGTACTGAGGAACCCAGTTTAGCACTGTGCAAATTCTTTTTCTTTTTTTAGCTTTTTGTTGTGAGTTTAGCAAGTGTACAGAGCACACTGGTTTTTCCATGCAGCATTTTGTGTATATTTGTTTCATTACATTGACTGCAATCTCCATTCTTGCCACCTTGCCTCTACCTCCCTTCAGAACCCTATGCTTAAGCAAATGCTACCCATTTGATAACATGGTTGATTGTTGTAAGGGGTGTTACTTTCATCTTACAGGCCTGTCTATGTTGTTTGTTGTTGTTAGGTGCCTTCGAGTGTAGACGACTCATAATGACCCTGTGAACAAAAGGCCTGAGCACTGTTCGTACATAAAGTTTCTGGAGGCAAGCTGTTTCGGAAGTGGATGCCGCTCCTGCTTCCAGGCTTGTTTTAGTTGGGAAACTCCAGCCAGCACTGTCCACCATGGGTACCCATTACCATGTTTGGCACATCACCGTCACAGTGTTCAGCATCCCAGCAACCACAAGCTACCTCTGTACAGCAACGCACAGACCAGTGCTATACCACCTTCGGCTTGGTAGCCTTTCTATAGTTTTGGTTAAAACATGTGTTCAAAAACGAGCTTGAGTGACCATATGTGCTGGTTTACCTGTAGAAACTCGGATTTATTCCCATTTTTCCAGTGTAACTAGCCCCCCCCCCCCAGTGTAACTATTAATGATGTAATTTTTCATTTTCAGAAGTGTCCAGGTTTGGAGAATTAGTTATCTGGTAATTTCTCATAACCCAGTCAGTTCCATTTAGTGTTTTGTCCAGTTTAACCATTACATATATAGATATTAGATTTGCATCTTTTAAAAAAATTTTTTTTTTAAATTTTATTATTTGTGTGTACCATCAAATCAGATCTGACTGGTACAGGAGGAGATTGTCCCTCTTTCTCCTGCGAGCATCTGGTGGATTTGAACCGTGTACCTCTGGGATTGTAGTGCAGCTTCTTGCCACTAGGCCATCAGAGCTCCAGATTTGCATCTTTAATGAGGCTGTATTCGTACTACTTTCCCATTTGAACAAATTATTCCTTGACTGAGATTTTTCTTTTTCTCCCCTTTTTAAAGTAATTGCAGTTAAGATCTGTAGATACTTGGGATTTTTCTGAGCCACACTCTAGAGGGCAGTATTATTTTTCACATCTTAAGTTATCTAATTTCCAGGGGAGGGAAATATAAGGAGAGACTCTTATTTATGCATGAAAAGCAGAAACATTTGATGGTCTCAGCACACATTGAAACCAATATTGTGGATACAACATATTTTACTAAGCAAAAAAATAAGAAAAAATTACAAATAATTAACATCCTAAACATTTGGATTTTTTTAGTAATAAAAATTGAACTTTGATGTTTCAAATATACAATGATTCATTATAAAAATTATGCAGACTCAAAGAATCTGCATGCATTATGCTTTAATGTTTTTACTAATTAATGATTTTACTTGTTTAATAATTCTATTGTAGTTTTCAATATTTATGTAAAGTAAGTTCCTCAAATTTAAGTTCATTTTTATCTTAATGTATAAACATTAAAAAATACTAGTTTTTACTCTGATTTGAATCATGTTGTAATGTAGAACTTGAGTCTGTAGAATTGGAATACTTCACAGAGGTAGAATAATTATTTTTCTTATCAGTGAATAATTTGCTAGCTCCTAATACTGAGCATATTGTGTTTCCTAATGCTCTCTTTTAGGATAGGTGATCAAGTCCTAATTTCAAGAGAAGATGACTTTTAACAGTTTTGACGGCTCTAAAACTGCAGACATCAATAAAGATGAAGAATTCATAGAAGAGTTCAGTAGATTAAAAACTTTTGCTAGTTTTCCAAGTAGTAGTCCTGTATCAGCATCAACTCTGGCCCGGGCTGGATTTCTGTACACCGGTGAAGGAGACACTGTACAGTGCTTTAGCTGTCGTGCAGCAGTAGATAGGTGGCAGTATGGAGACTCAGCAGTTGGAAGACACAGGAAAGTATCCCCAAATTGCAAATTTATCAATGGCTTTTATTTTGAAAATAATGCTACACAGCCTACAAATCTTGGTATTCAAAATGGTCAACACAAAGTTGAAAACTCTCCGGGAACCAGAAATAATTTTCTGTTAGACAGACCATCTGAGACGCATGCAGACTATCTTTTGAGAACGGGACAAGTTGTAGATATATCAGACACCATGTACCCAAGGAACCCTGAAATGTGTAGTGAAGAAGCTAGATTAAAGTCATTTCAGAACTGGCCAGACTATGCCCACTTAAGTCCAAGAGAGTTAGCTAGTGCTGGACTCTACTACACAGGTATAGATGATCAAGTACAGTGCTTTTGTTGTGGTGGAAAATTAAGAAATTGGGAACCTTGTGATCGGGCATGGTCAGAACACAGGCGGCATTTTCCTAATTGCTTTTTTGTTTTGGGCCGGAATGTTAATAATACTCGAAGTGAGTCTGATGCTTTGAGCTCTGATAGAAATTCCCAAGATTCAGCAAATTCTCCAAAAAATCCAACCATGGCAGATTATGAAGCCCGGATCACGACTTTTGGGACGTGGATATACTCAGTTAACAAGGAGCAACTTGCAAGAGCTGGATTTTACGCTTTAGGTAAACCTTATTATAAAAGTATTCTAATAAATAGTTTTTCAACTATGCCATGTCTCAAAAAAAGTACACCAATGAAGGAGTTTTTCTTTTGCTTTTCAAGGAGAGGAGCAAATGGGGGGGAGGGGGGAGGGGTTTGTGCGGGGAGAAGGGTGCAACAATGAATGAATGGAATCCCAAAATCTCTGTAGATGTTCATTGAAATGAAAAATAAACAACCTAAATTAAAAAAAAGTACACCAGTACCTTTTGTCTGTTTATTTTTTTTTCTGTGAATCCTTATGTGAGCCTGTTGTGTAATTAATTAGTATAAATAGGACTAGCATATTGTGAGTCACTTTATCTTCATGTCATTGTTTTTAGGAAAGGGATGATAGTAGAAGTCTAATAGAAGAATGAATCTAGCTATCATTTACTGAGCACTTAGTATGTATGCCAGTACGTATAATAGGCATATATATTAAAATAAAGTGTTAACATTAGAGAATTTAGTTTGATATTAAAATTATGTCCACATTTATTATGTAGAACTGTATTCTTCTCCCATGGGATTTACAGCCTCTCAAAACCTGCTGGAGGATCAGCTGTGAGTTGTTTCCAATTTGAGGGCACATTACAATGACAGATATACATTTCAAAGCATTCCTATATTAATATCTTGTTGGTTTAAATGTGTATTTTTTTTTTGTTTGGTTGTTGTGTACCATCAAGTTAGAACTGACTCATAGCTGACCCTCCAATGGCTTTTCAGAGACTGGCCATCTTTGAGTAGCTGGTGGGTGAATTAAAACCACATGCCTTGGTTTGGCAGCACAGCTCCTTACTAGGCCACCAGAGCTCCCTAATTGACTATGTAAATTTGTCAGGAAGGCGTCCATGATACAGCTGACTCATTTTTAGAATCAAACGTGTCTTGTAATTTTACTATGCTAAATTTTATTGCTACTAATGCTTGGAATATAGCTTAAAGCTTTATGGTTCAAGAAAGCAGTTACAGTATAAATTATCTACATGGCTTATGTGATTAAGAAAACATATAACAAAAATAAATTTAAAAAATATATATAATTTGTCTGCTTTTATAAATCTCAAATTGAATTTAGTTACTTTGCTCCTGAAATGATATTGTTTTTATTTAAATGTACATTTGAATATAATTTCTTGCACCATGTGATTATCATGCAATTTAGATATGCTTAATTACGTTTTTACTTGATTCTTAGGTGAGGGAGATAAAGTGAAGTGCTTTCACTGTGGAGGAGGGCTAACTCATTGGAAGCCCTGTGAAGACCCTTGGGAACAGCATGCTAAGTGGTACCCAGGGTAAGATATTTATATGTTTATTCAGTAATAGGCAAGATGGACAGTGTGCAGTGAGAAGACTTGAATTACTTTTCACCTCCGCTATTTTTACCTTCACTATAGCTTGAATTCGCACCATTTTTAAAAAAATGGGGTCACCTACTTTATAAGGGAGGGGAACACCAAAGCCTTCCCAGGTTATTCATTATTTGTGTATCATAGCTGTGCTGTTCATGTTATTCCATTTCTGAGTAGAAAATTCAAGAATGTATAATAACATTTGTGTTTGGAAAAAAACCTTTTTCATGGTGTGTATTTATGTTCTCAAAGATACTCCTTAAGAACCCATTGTTGTTAGATACTGTCAAATTAAGTGACTCAGCAACCAGATGAACAAGAGATCTGAACCTTAGCCTGTCCTGTGCCATCCTCACAATATGTCTCATATGCTTGAACCCATTGTTACAGTAACTGTCAATCCAGCTTGTTGAAGATCTTCTCTTTCACTGACTCCCCCCTTGATAGAATAATGTCCTTTTCCAAGGACTGGCCCTGACAACATTTCAAAAGTATGTGAAATGAAATTTCACCATCCTTTCCTCTAAGGAGCACCCTGGTTCCATTTCCTCCAGGACAGCCTTGTTTGTTCTTTTGTCAGTCCATGGAATAGTCAGTCAGCACTCTTCTCCAACACTACAACTCAAACTATAGGAAATATTATTGTATTCTTATCAATTCTCAGATACATGACTGTTCACATTTTAAAATCTCTGAAATCAGGACACATCTTAAACTTTAATGGGCATGATACACTTAAAATAATCATGCTTCCTAAAATCAGTGGCATACTAGAATGAGAACATACCCTAGATGTCTCTGCCATCTCATTTATTAAAGAACAACTTAAAACTTCAGATTGATTATTTGAAAATAAATCTTAACCATAAACAGAATTGAAAAGCCTTAAGAATTCTTTTAAAAGGTGCACTTGGTTAATTCTCTAAATAAAATCTGTTAAGAAGATTAACTATGTAAAACTTTATAATATCAAGGTGGTAATGTAATAACTCATGATCTAAAGTTGAACAATCTCAAGTTGGTATTTATTGGTATACTCACATTAGCATAAATAGAGTTAAATGAAAGAGTGGCAGCTGGATGTAAATTAGGTAGCATTTTATTTTGTGGTTTCTTAGAAATACCAAAACCAAGTTTGGAATTAAGATATAATTCTATCTTTATTTGTATTTTACTAACTTGCTCTATACCAAAGTTTATATTTTTTTAAATTGTTTAGGTGTAAATACCTGTTAGAAGAGAAGGGACATGACTATATAAACAATATTCACTTAACCCATTCACTTGAGGAGTCTTTGGTAAGTCACATATTACAAAATATATTTTTCAAACATTGCATAGTTTGTTTACCATTAATTTTTCTTTTTTAAAAAATTTTATTAGTTGTGTGTGTTGTATGTGTACAGTCAAATCAGATTTGACTGGTACAGGAGAAGATTGTCCCTCCTTCTCCAGCAGAGCAGCTGATGTATTCAAGCCATGAACCTCTGGGATTGCAGTGCAGCTTCTCGCCATTAGGCCACCAGAGCTCA